CAATACTTTTAATTAACCCTTTTTCTAATTGCCTAAAGTATTTAACTGTACAATACTATTAAAATAAATATAATATTATGTAATATCTCCACTTGGGTTTTTACTTGTTCATTTTTCTAAGTCATCTCTTCTAGGTAACTCATGTGTGCTTTTTGTCAGGTCTAGAGTTTTCTTGAAAATGAAATAATGTCCATGTCTTGCTTCTGCAGTCCTCACTTACAAACACATGCTAATGCCCTGCTTGAATAAATATCATTGCTCACATCAGCATATACTGCAGAACTTGACTTCACATCAACTCTCAAATTTTCTTAACATGTTTCCTAAATGGGGAGAAATTCCTATCATTTCCATTGTAAGTCAGAGAGCAATGAATGTATTGGTTCCTGACCAATACATAATTTGAATGCCCAAAGCAGTTTGTGAAAATATATGAGGTCAGGATTATAAAACTGTCATTTAAATTGTTTGGCTTTCTAGTCAAATCAACATTCTCTCTTCCTTTCTTCTTTTCTTTTTTCTTTCTCAGTATTCATACATGCATTTTTCGGTCACAATTTAGCCATAATACGAAGTTATAATCAAAAAAAGCATGTGTTTATGTGAAAAAGAATATTCTTGCTATGCCCACTGGTCCATTTGTGGCTTTAAATGTCCTTATCTTCCATGGCTTTATATTGGCCAGTTGTATTGCTCAGAAAATATTACCTCCCCCCTTATTTTCTGCACAGTCTTTTTCACAGCTTTCCCAGCTTTTCATAAGAGAGACGTGGGCCTACTGCCTTATTCAGTTGATGTATTTCATTTGGGGATACATAGTGTGATGTGCTATACATTGTGTCAGATTGCATGTTTTTAATAATCCTTCTTTTATATATTATTGTGATTTGTAGTTGAGAGGCAGTGGGGTCAGGATTTCACCATAAAAAGGTGCTAATTTTTTTTCAGGAATGGCAATTATTGGTAAAAATTTCACCAAGTCTCTCTCTGTGTAATGGAAGTATTTTAGTAAATTTGTTTCAGCCTTTGTTGACAGTGGCATTTCAAGTAGAATTAAAATGTTTGTTACCTACTTTAATGGTGGAATGCAGTTTCTCCATGTGGTACCATAACACTTCTTCAATGGAAGAACTCTTTTTTAAGTGGAATATTAAAAATTTTGACTGAACGATAATGAAAAATACTGGTTCATGTGCTTTCTTTGAGAGATCTTTGTAGTTAAATCCTCTACACACGAGAAATTTATACGCAATTACACATGAATGACAACTTCCAGATAACTGAGCTTAGAAGTATTAAAAATAAAGTTTTACTTTGCTACAATAAATAATTTTGGGTTATTAAAAGATTACCTGATGAAGTCAGTGGTTGTAAACTCCTTTTTTTGACAGAAAATACTATCAATTGAAAATTATTATTCCCTCATTGTCAGAAATACATAACTGATGGCAGGTGTTTGCCATTCTCATTATCTCTATTTTCCACCCTCCTGTGGTAAGGCAAGTAGTTTTAGTTATCAGGGTCTAATGTGCTTCAGTAGAAACATCAAATGAGGGGAGGCATATGACAGGGGGAAAGAGTCAGGGCTAGGTGTGCATATATTGCACATCAGCCCTAGGTAGTTCTACATGATACTCGGGGTTAAGAAAGAGAGTAAGACAATTTGTTGAGGAACTGTGACACTCAGCAATATTAAATTTCTAAGCTTTGAAATAACATAGCACTCAGCATCTCACTTTCTAGTAACGCAAAAAATTAGTTCTTGTACATGGAAGTAGAAGAGGGGTAATTTCCATTTCTAAGCAGCTAAAACATCTCTTTATATATAGTATATATTACCATATATGTTATGTATAAAATTTGCTTTATACAAAAATTTATTAAGGCTTATGTATGGATATTGTGCATTCTGAAAATTCAAGAACAATTTTGAAGGGAGAATTGAAAAAAAAGCCATATTTCATGTCAAGGAAACAGATTAAATTGATAGCAATATTTAAAAAATAAATTCATGATTGTCATGTCATGAGTGTCAAATGCTTTTATCAACTGGCTATGCATATAATGAGTCACAGCTTCCACATATATATATTTGTTATTGGCATGGGTAGCTCCTTAAGTATACCTATTAATTGCAAACACTGGAGTACAGTCTGTTCTCATTTTACATTGCTTTTCTATATGCATATTAGAAAGAGATAACTTTTAAAAGATAGGATTAAATCTTAGAAACTGAGGTAAAAAATTCTTTAACTCTTTGAGAGACAAATAATATTTTTCTTTTAGAAACTGAAGAGAGGAATGAACAGACAGAAGTTTCAGTAGAACATCTGAAAATATCTCCATGAATGAAAGTACAAAAGATGGATATTTTTTTTTCCCTTTCAGATACCCACATCCTTATTTTAATTAACTTGCTAATATAAATACAGCAAAGTTGTTGTATTTTTTAAATAACTCTTTACTGAATATGTCAACAAGATAATATATAGTGTATAGTGAGGTTTTGAAGTTAACAATGCGTGCAACATGGCAGATTGCAGAAAACAGGTAACGCAGACTTCAAACCATCTACTTTTCCATGTTAAAGATAGAAAGTATACCAAACACAGAACAGAATCAAGTGTGCATATCTCAGATTAAATCAATTTTATGAAAGATCATCTTCAGATATTTGGGATCAACTCATGATAACAATTTGTTTAGTAGCTTATCTGTTTCTGGGAGGATCAGAATTCAGCTCTCATGAGGCACGTTTCCACAGAGCCCCAGTGTAATAAAAGGTTGCCAAATCTCTTCTGTGCTAGTTTTCCGTACGGACTACTAGCCAGCGTCCTTTTAAAGAATAAAACATTCTCTGCTGTAGAAAAGTTTAATGCCAAATGCTTCAATATTGCCTGTAGTATCATCTGGGATACAGAGTGCCCTGTTCAATAGAGTTCAGGGAAGGAGTGATCATCAGCTTCCTAGGATTATCTCTGTGTTTAGAAGAGAGCATCAGGCAGGATTTGATGAGGTTCAGAGCCAGTAACTTTTGGTTTTGGCACTCACTTCTGTTTTGTTTTTCCACTGAGCTGTAAAGATAAGTCATGTGTAAAACCATTATTCTCATGTTCTAAAGAAAAAAACTTTAATATCTCCATGTTAAATTTAAAGTGAAGAAGTACTATAAATGTAGAATTCAATGGGAATTAACCACTTTACTGTCAAAAGCTGAGACTGAACTTTCACTTCAATGCCATTAATAAAGTGCCTTATGTAGACCCTTAAAACAATAACATCAATATGCATAAAGATTTTCTGTTTGCAAAATTGAAATTAATATTTTTTTCAGAGCAGGAAACTTCTTCTCATGAAAAAAAGAAAATTATTCAGAGAAAAATATGGTTAAACTACTCTTGTAGCAAATATGATATGCTGCTTCATTTTTCTGTTTTACATGACAGTCACTGTAGTCCTTTATTGGGTTACATGGAAAACTGCTAGTGTCTTTTCAGATCAAAGTAGCTTATTCTCTAAATATTCTTATAAAGAAATCCAGTAATAATGTTCCAATAAGAACCTGTTAACACAAAGTCCATGCATTAATCAGGTGTTTGTTTCTGCCAGCAAGCCACATGCAAGTAGCACTTATTAAAGTGACAGAATCCATGAAAATAAGGACCTGTTTGTAAATACATACATCTTCAGAAGGAAGCCAAGTACTGGGAACAGCAGTGTCGTTATGCTTCTTTAACAAAATTTCACTAAAATGCTTATTTTATTCTATTCACCAATCTTTCTGCATGTCTATGTCAACTATTAGCAGTATACAATAGAAGATGGGTGAGATTTTGTCTGGAAAAAAAATTGTCCCTAGATCCAATGAACTTGACCAAATCAGGATTTAAAAGTGAATATTCTGAGTGAGTTGCACATGTACGTATTTGGCACTTCTGCTCTATAGCCTTTAGTTATTATATGTGGTCAGATATCTCTCCTAAGCAAAGGTCTGCCCAGTTTTACAAAGCCCAAGAAAACAGCTACTAGTCTTAAACTTTATATTGCCAAAAGGTCACTGTCCATTATTAACTCTGACTTTTTCTACATACTTCACCTAGTGAAATTTGCTCACTAAGGGCTTATCTAGGTGGGAACTGAAATGAAATCTCAGATGTTCGTATGGCTGACACTTTGACAAGTCCCAAATTCTATTGTAGGTTAAAATACATTAGCACTTTTGGAGCTAAGGAACAATTAAATATGGAGAAAATTCTTTAAATTACAGATATGACCTTTCAGTTGACTACAACTCTGAATTTTTTTAGATAATATTCCCAGCTCTGTCCACAAATTTCAGTATAAGGTGCTAGCTATGTTTTGTCACAAGAGCCTTTATAGTAAAGAAACTTTTGTCAGTATCCCATACAAATTTATTTTTTTTCATATTGAAGAGATGCATAAAGTATGCTATCTTTAATATTGTGATTTTTGATCTAGGTGACTCATAGTCTACATATATATATATATACACATACATGAATATGTTCCATCATTCAAGATCAAAATGAACAGTTTGTGAATGCCCTCTATTGTCACCCTATTCTATAAGTAATCAGATTTGTTGTCATCAGGTTGGGCTTGTGGATCATTCACCTGCAGTACAGGCCAAACTCCCTGAATAAGTCAATTACCACAAATAAGGTGCCTATAGTATACTGAGGTCTAGAACAGAGGATTCCTCCTGCATCAGTAAATACTATCCAGCTTGTACTTTCAAAGGAGGCCTTTTGAAACCAAATGTACAACCAGTTATTTCATTGAAATTAAATGCTATGACCACACCCAATGGGAATCACTGGCTCTGCTTAACTTCAAGCAAACTCCAGCATTCAACAGAAGTGTGCAGAAGCACAACTGTTTGCTGCTTGTCCTTTGAGCTGTGGCAACTAAAATATGTTAAACAAAAAAAAAAAAAAAAAAAAAAAAAAAAAAAAAAAAAAAAAAAAAACCACAAAAACAAAACCAAAAAAAAACCAACAAAACAAAACCAAAGAAACCATCAAAACCAAAGCCCAAAAGTATAAACCTTATTATTGGTAAATAGATGACAGAAAAACCCCATCCACTTTGCATAGACATTTATACGGAGAATTATGCTATTTGAAATCATATGGTAAACTTTTAATCTGCAAAATTATTGTTAAGTAGTGACTTAACTATTACAGTAGCCACAAGGTTGCTTAGAATACCCGCTATATCTGGAGAAAATAGCTAATATATAGAAATTAGACTGTAATTTCAAGATGTGATTTTTTTAAAAGGTGTTGGTGGCAGGATGTGGTTCCTTACAAAATGGTCATACTTTGCCATCAGTCATAACTGGGTTTGTTTTGTCATTGGAGAAAATTAGTGTTATCATGTGATCTGAATTACAGAAAATACATGCTCATAGATGGCTGAGTTTCAAGCATGGGTTGAGTGAAATGAGTGAAGGAAAGGATTAAAACCTTCTCTTCCAGCAAAAGGAGCTTCATAAAGTGGAAAGTCTGAGCATTCCACTATGAAAGTGCTTCAGCTTTTACTTCCAATCCACATGCAGCAACTTTCTGTCTATCCTTAGGTGATCACTGTAAAACTTTCTCACTTTGGTTCCCTACTACCATAGGGAAGTTTTGTCTTTTTTCTTTTTTTTTTTTTTTTTTTTTCCCCTATGTGATGTAGTTTTAGCTTGTACCCAAACTCAGGAGAAAATTAGCTATATTAAAAAAGCAAGCTGAAAACCCCTAAATAATGAGACTCCACCACAGTTCTTGGCAGTCACTGAGTTACCAGAGTGGCTGAAATATTACATAATTTTGAGAGCTGCATTATGGTTTTAATACAAGCATGATATTTTGCATAGTGCATGTAAAGCTCAAGGACTGAGAAGAATCTGAGGATATGAAAAAGCAAATTCTAAACCCAGCTATTGCTTGTGAAGCAGACTGTTGCTTGTGAAGCACAAATCATTATGGAAAACTTGAAAATGCTTAAGGTAAAAGAAGAGTAATTCAGAGGGACACTGTATACCTGTGTTCTCAAAATTTCCCAGTCAATCAAATGCTTAGCTAATGTCAGTCTCTGTATACTTTAATTGGAAAGGAAAAAAAGCAAAACTAACAAACAAACAAAACTCACAAAGATTTGTACATGATTTTCCCCACTGAAGATATTTCAGTTTATAAAAGCCCTCGAGGTCTTCCCAGTACTAAATAATTTTTTACAATATATTTCTTGTTTGTTTTCCCTTTTTGTCTTTTTTTCCCCTATTTCACCATACTGAACATAATTCAGGCCCTTAAGTCAAACAAGGCTTGAACCATAAAAATTATTAGCAAAACATTTCCATTTCCATTATATTTTGCACTATGTATTCAGCAATACACACTATTTGATTTCAGATTACATGAACACGCACATGAATACCGCAGAGCTGGGAGCACTCAGAATTTCCCTCATTCTGGCTTTACCTGAACATGCTATGTCAACAAATGCTGCTCTATTAAGAGGTGCGACTTAATGACAGCTCTCTGTTACATATTCTTACATAAGCTTCACCTCTCACTGAGAAGGGTCAGAGAACACCTAAAACTTCTTAATCCTAATGAAAAGCACAAACAGTTTCTGAGATAAAGTATGTAGTATTGGGGACATTTTCAGAGCAACTTTTGCAAATAGGAATCAAGGTCACTTTGAGTTTGACACTGAGTTCTTTCCATGTTTCCTATTCCAAGTAGATTGAAAGAAAACTAATCAAACAAGAGAGTAGCTTTTTTGGCAGCTCTCAGAACTCCAGCTCTCAGTTGGAGGTGAGAAGTGCAGACCTGACAAAGAGGAAGGGATGTATTTCCAATTGTTTGAAGCTCAACAGCAACTGCTGGGTTCATGTCAGAAGGATTGTGCCCATTTTATCTGAATTGCTTTTGTCTGTTCCTAGTGACCCTGTTTTAATATGCACTTATTTTCCTGTATTCCAGGACACCTAGAAACTTAACATCCCTCAGACTGCTTCGACAGCAAAGTGGTTAATGTTTGAAGAATGAGTCATTCTTTCCATTGCCATGACATTGGGTTCTTATTGTACAACCCTGTACAGTACTCAGCAATAGTTTTTAAAGATTTAAAAAGCAAAGAGTTACAAAACCATTTGCAATTAACTTGAAATAGAAAAGATAGCACTTTTTTTTTAAATCCCATTATATAGTACACCGTATAAATTACAGAGTATTCAAATGCATAAATGCATCTGTATAACATTTATCAAATGTAATTTTTTTTCATTATTCTTGGGGGGCATATTTTTTCTAGAGTTTTTTCTCCTTGTCCTAGAGACCCCCATTGTCCCTCACTATCACGTATGACAGTGCTCCAGGTCTGAGACGTTGCTGTTGCAGTATCGCATGTTGTTGGGGATGTGGCAGTCTGTGTAGTTAATGCCCCCGTTTGGGGTATAAATGGGCTGCAGTCTGAAATCTCCTTTAAGGAGCTGATCATTATTTAAGGAGACAATCTGGAAGCTGGTTTCCGTCATCTCCAGGATGGAGTTGTCCTTCTTGGTCCCTGCCTCACAGTAGTCGTCTTTCCGACGGCCCCGGTTATATTTCCACTTCTGGGAGGTGTAACGACCTTTTTTGTGCATGTGCCAGCAAAAAATGCTGAGCAAGACCACGAGGACAAATATCACTGCACCCCCAATCAACCCTGCCAGCAGAAATGGGGAGCCCAGATTCTGAGAAGTCGTCTGCTCATGGCTGGAAGGGATGTTGCTGCCATTGAAAAAGGAAGCCTTGGTTGTGGCTTCTGAACAGACAGTGTCTTCTCCAGTCCGGTAGTTGTTATAAGTATCCAGGGGAACCAAACAAATACGGTAAGTGGATTTGGGCTCCAGATTTACCAAGCTTGATTGCTGCTTCTCACCACTAATTATTCGTTCATGAACAATTCCTCCGACCAGACTATGGCCCATTTTAACCCATGTGAGCTTGTATGCCATCACGGTAAAAAGTGACATCCAGTTGACTTGGATGCAAGTGTCATTCACAAAATGGATGGAGAGCTGAATCCATTCAGACAAAGGAGGTGTCACCCTTTCTCTGTCCTCCCTGTCAGGCACAGTGGGGAGTGTGGCTATGATGGGAGTGAGAGGATTATATTTACTACTTGAGGGAGGAAATGATGGGCTGGGAACTAATGTAGTCGGCATGGTTGTAGCTGGGACTGGGGTGATGATAAGTGGCAGACCAGGGGTAGTGGTGGGGCATGACAACATATTCATATTGAGCTCCCTGACTGCCATACCTCGGACCTGCTCTGGTCCCTGGCACATAAAACCACGTACATTGATGGAAGCTGGAATAAATTTGAGCCATTCAGTGACCCACTTAATGCTGCAGTCACATAACCAGGGATTATTCCTTACAGTGAGTTGTCTCAGGTTATGGAGATTATCAAATACTCCCTTTGCCAACATCCGAAGTTGATTGTTGGAAATATCAAGACGTTCCAGTTTGTGGAGGTTTGAAAAGGCTGTAAGTGGTATGTGGGTTATCTGGTTGTCCTGCAAGTAAAGTCTTAGCAGATGTGTACCTGGAAGATCGGGAGGAGGGTAAGTCAGTGAATTCCGAACTATTGAGAATTCCTTGAGCTTGGAGAGGTGACTAAAAGTGCCTTCAGCTATGCCTTTATTAGTGAGGAGATTGCCATCCAAGATCAGACGCTCCAGACTTGTAAGATTCTGGAAGGCCAGGTCTGAAATGACGGCAATTCGGTTTTCGTCTACACGAAGTTCTTGTAAGTCCAGCGGAAGGCCTACTGGCACACTGCTTAAGTGATTCTTAGACAAGAACAGAAGCTTGAGGCTGATGGCTTCCTGGAATGCCCCATCCTCAACGCCAACAGTGGAGATGGAGTTGTCATCCAGGTGCAGTTCTTCCAGCTTCAAAAGCTGAGCAAGAGCAGCACGTGAAATGGTCTGAATGTTGTTTTCCTGCAGGTGGAGAACCCTGACATTCTTGGGCAGGTTCATGGGGAATTCATCCAATTGATTGCCGTACAGGTAGACTGTGTGCACAGACTGGACATTGTGCAACTCTGCAGGAAATCCAGCATTATTAATTTGGTTATTATGGAGGTAGAGGACGGTTACACCCTCCGGTATCCCAAGAGGCACTGAGGTCAAACTTCGTTCATTACAGTAGACAAAGTTTCGGTCACAGCGGCAAACTTTTGGGCAGGCCAAAGTTTTGGAGACCTGTATGTAGAGCCCCAGGGAAAAGATAAGCCATGATTTCATGAGAAGAGCCCAATCTGTGGGCCACATTTTAGTCCACAAACCCATGTCTAATTTAAACAAATAAAGTACCAAAGTGTTTAAGAACTGATAACAATAATAATGCACAGGTAACAAAATCTCAGGTCATTAAAATTTTTTGTCCAGTGTTCAGGCCAGAATTAAAGTCCTGGAGGCTAAGCATAAAATAATCCTTTTATAATTGGCCTGCCTCCTACTTCTGATAAGGAAAACACAGTCTTATGAGCCAGGATTACAATGTTTGTTGTCTTCCTCCATGCTGAAAGAACCAGTAGCCATGTCTTTGCAAATGAACCACAGGTTACTTTAAAGCTACCAAAAGTCTGTGCTTGGAGGTGTATTTCACTGAAGTCTGTTGGCTTCTGTCAGCTTTCTGAAGTCAGCAAAGTCCTCATATTCACTATCTGCCAGATCTGGTCTGCCTGTAAAAGGAAAGAGAAAAGAAAAAGCTGAATAGCATGAAATGTTTAATAGGAAAGATCAAGCCCATTAGAAGACTATTCTAAGGCTTATAATCTCTTTATAGATTTCAGGGGGAAAAAAAAGGGAAAAAAAGACATTAATATTAAACATTAGCTTAATATTACTGCTAAATAGTCTTGAAATAGATTTGATGCAAAGTCATTGCAATGACTGAAGGACATTCAGTGACTTCATTGAAGGCTAGATCTATTACTTTCATTTGCATACTATACCTCCAGTCTTTGTCCTCGCACAGTCTGTTTAAAACTTTAGAATTAAAAACAACCCAAAAACCTAAAGCATTTTACTGGAAATTTTTGCTCAGGTAATTATTTTTCTTCTGCAGAACCACTAACTTCAATGACTATTATTCACTGATGCCTGAAAGAGTAGACTCTGGGCTGTATTATTTAATCACACTCTATGTTTTTTTCATTTTCTACCAGACTCTGGAATATTCTGCTTCTATTTCTGTAATACCATTACATATATTGTCCAAATTAATGCACACTGCCAGATTATTTTGCCTCACTCTAGTGAATTAGAGACTTATGAGAAGAGTCTTTTAACCAAGTATGATTGTCCACAAATGTAAGATACTGTGCTGTAAGACATATATTTGCTAAAACTATCATATTGATATTGGTTCTGATGTGAATTGTACTGTCAATAGATTCCACAACTATTTTCCACTATCTCCAAGCACAATTGCTTTCCACTAAATGAAACAGGCTCACATCTGCTAAGTTATTGTTTTAGGATATCAGCTCAAACTGTGGCACTTTTGCAGAGCACTTCCTTTGAAACCATAAAGGTTAGATATGGCTTTTAATTTTGCTACACAGTTATCTGTGAATGGCTACATAAACAAGTGTGTTAACTTTAGTATAGCTGAGTTCCTTAATGTGTATTTTCAGCTTGTAAGCATACTTTTTATGTTCCCAGCTACTATTTATTATTCAGATCTCTAACCAAACATTCCCACTCTCTAAAGTATGCAATGAAAGGTACTGTGTTGTTTGATGTTATTTTGTCTTGTTATAAGTTGTTTCTAATGATGGTCGCTCCCCCTCGCCCCCCATATGCATTTGGACTTAATAAAGGATATTAGCATTGGCAAGTACAAAGCATGTGCAGAACCCAGGGTCTTCAATTGCAGTGACATAAGTACAATAATTTTTCAGGTTTTGTTTATCCAAATCAAAGATCTGGCTAGGATTTCAAGAAAATAGAATTTTAGTGAATCAAAAATCCTGTTTCAAAAAGGTAGTTGGTTTTTATTATATACTCTTTTTTAAAAAATTATTATTATATTTATATTTCTTTAAACAAATTAAGAACATCCAGGTCATTCAGAAAGAAACTTACTTTGGTCATACATAAAACCTTGTTCTTCTGATACAGCTGTGCAGTTCATAACATGTCCCTGATGCTACGTTTGGGAATCCTATGGACTGGTAGTGTAGAAAGCATCCTTAGTCAAACAGTTACAACCCTTCAACCTTGCACTTGAAGAATACTGTATTTATTTAGAGCATCATCAGGTATCAGCCTGAAGGTTCAAACAGCTGGATATAAAAAAATAATGAGACCCAGAAAAATCCTTTTTATCATTATGAGCTCAAATTTTAAAGATATGTAAATGTAATACTGCAATATAGCCTATAATACATTGTCCTTTTATACAAACAGTAAGATTAGGTACCCCACTGTTCATGGCTTTCTATCTCACAAGCATATTTCAGTCAAGACTGATTTCTTTTCAATTATGCCAGATGACGTGATACTGTAGAGAAAGTCTTAACAGGATTACATTCTACCATGAGCCTAAGTGTGACAGTTTATCCGCCTTTAATATGGCCTGGCTCCCATCTAGATCACAGTGCTCTGATCTGTCATGACACTCTCTCTTAAAATAAGAATGGATATGCAGAGCATCCTCTGAGTTGATCGGGACCACACAGAGTAATGATAGCTGTTCTCTCACTTTCCCGTCATCCTCAGAGAGAGACAGACTGTACCTCCTAAAAGATCCAGTACCCTGCACTAAGCTCACTTCCAATTGTAAGCCCAGTTATTGATTAACCTTTATTTCACTCCTGGGTATAATAGAAGGCCCAGCTGAGAACATGCAGCTGCAGCTCCCGGTTTGCTGGGAATCTCCTAAGAAGGGACTGCCATATTAGAACTGATTTATGCATTCACCTCATTCTAGTACTCTGTCCAGTGTACCTCTCACCTAAGTAGATATGGCACCTGAATTAAATATTTCAGTAACAGTACAAACAAATTAGGTCAAGCACACAGCATTTCTTATTAGATATCACAAGAAAAAGAGCTTTGATTGGACAGTCACTTAAGCAGATTCTGGAGTTTCTCTCCTTTTTTTGTTACATGGATTTTGCTATTAGAAATCTGTTAAAACTTTCCTCATGTTTTCTTCCCTCATGATGGAAAGAAAGGTAGTCCTCTTATTAATGGCAGTATCCTAAACTCTAGATAGATATCAATCCTTAATAAAGAGATACAAAAAAACCAGTACAGATTATATGTATTTGGGACTACTCTTGATTGTACTAAGCAAGAACACAAGGAGCTATCTAACTAGATGTTTATGACTTCACGGTTGACTGTGGTGTGGCAGAGGTAAAGAATGAGGAAGTAATGATAAAACTGAATGTATTTAAATAACTTTTTGGGGAAGGATTTTACTTCACTAGTCTTTTACAACTGCTTAACACTTAAAATAGGGCTCATAGTTGCTGTGCTCTTCAGCATATCTCAGGGATCCTAATGGAAAAGTGAGTTCTGTGTGTCAGAAATCTCTACCCCAAAGACATTAAAAAGATTGAAGAGTTGGAAACCTGCTCGATTTAAAAAAAAAGAAACTTTACGAAGGAAAACCATCATGTGTAAACTCCAAAATGCTAGAAAAGTGTAAGCAGTTTTTTTTCTTCAGAAAAATGCCAAAACTGAAGGCAGGCAGATCACTCAGCTTCCCCTCTCCCCACCATTTCTGGCATGCTGGCTTCCTAAAGCAAGCTCTGTTTTCAGTATGACTGCAAATATTAAATTGAATCTCTGCAAATTTACTGATTTTTTTCAGAAGTAGAAATTTGAAATTGGAGGAATTAAAGATATTTCTTAGCTATTGTGGTTGTAAATCTTGGGAGTTGACTGCTTATTTTAAGTCAGAAAGTTCTATAAGCCAGTCTAGGTAGAGAAAAAGGCAAGTGTCACAATTAACTTAAAATTTAAGAAATCATCAAGCAAATTATTCAATAATAACACATCTGTCCATCAACAATTTGGTAATTTTTTTACACTTGATTTCTATTATTTCTCACTATATCCTCCTTAGACACAAGTTGTATCTTCGAAGTGTGTAAGACATTTCCTGCCTTACTGCAGCCAGGATATTAAATCTCATTAGATTTTAAAGAATGATACAGTGAAGTTAAGAAAACAGCATTGAAATAGATGAGAAAATATCACATGCTTCAGGTGGCCAAGTCTGAAAATTTGGCTTAGTAGTTCCTGCAATCAATGGAAATATTTGTTTTCATAACTTACAATGCATTTCTGATCAACATTTTTATCTCACTGTCTTTTGTCAAAACTGCCTTGTTTAAATTCCCTTTTGGCATAACTGATGCTAGCTGGAAAAGAAAAATTTTGGCTTTATGTACTGGATAAAATATAAGGTGTTTTGATTAAAGATATTTTAAAGGTTGAAACATATGGCTGCAAGTTGGAAAGGTGAAAATTTTTTATTAGTTGTACCTTTACTGGTCAGAATCCTCCATACAACTTCCAGCCTTTGTCACCCTGCATAGCCATGAAATAATTAATATATTACTGAAAGTGATGTTCAATTATAAATTTGTTGCATCTAAGGGGAAAAAAAAATCACCTCACTGGTAGTCTGCTTGTGGAACTTTTTCCTACCTCACTGACTGATATACTGCCTCAGTGGCTGTGCCTATGCTGTCTAAAGAATCTCCAAAGCTGCCCTTAGAATCATCTTTCCCATTTTTTATTCTGCAGTCTTCCAAACATGCAGTCAAGGTCCCTGTGGCTATCTGAGAACCTAGTGTTATTCAGGGAAGAAAACAGAGAATAAAGGGAGAAGATAACATGTGGAACCAAGCCTGCATAGGAATACTTGCAATACTATGTTATAAGCACAGAGTTTTGAAATGCTCTTAAAGCCAAGTTGTCTGTCTTCATGGTTTACATTAAGGCTATACATTTTTCAGAGATAATAAAATTAAGAATACTTGGCTATTCTTTCCTTCAAGGGATACTGAAAATAATAAAAAATAGGTCAAAGGAATCCAAGGCCTTTTTTTTGCTGATAGTCTAACCAGTTAGCATCACTTTTCCCAGCAGTTCATCCACTTATCTGGACCTGAGTGCCATGCAACATAAACTGGAAGTCAAGCAAAACCAAAACCAAATGGTCATACTTACTCTTTTCACTATTACCAGTCAGTGATTCTTATTTAGCACTAAACCATTTGGTATAAATTTTCTTGGCTGTACTGCAGACTAGGGTTATAATCAAGTCATATAATCTTACTCTACATAATTATAATACACAGTAAGTACAAGGCTATTATGTCTGGAATTGAATGACAAACAGAAAACAAATCTAATTCCTTTCATATGAAATCTAGTACAGACTTCCTTGTTTTTAAGAAAAATGTCCCTGTGTATCTATCAACTGGTAACAAGAAAAATTACAGAATAACACCTGATATATGCCTTTTTTCCACACAAGTAAAGTTCATATCTGTGAGTGCACACATTAATAAATGTCCCGGTGTTGTGCGGTTTTTTTTTTTGTTTTTTTTTTTTTTTTAAAGTGATCAGGAGCCTTGGGTGATAGTTAGCTGTATATATTTCTCTATGAGTTACTTGGGTTTGAACTTTGTACTCATATTTTAATAAGAGTCTA